TACTGAATGGCGTTCAGATCACATACATACAGTTCAATTGCCATGGAGCCAAAGTCTTTCACATAGTCTTTCGTTACGAATGGGCTCCATGGCATAGCTATCTGGAGTAACACTGCTCACATAGGGAAAGTACCGAATGACTCGGCTTTTGGGTCTTTGCAAGGGAAAATCAAGCATTTCAACATGGGGCCATAGTTACAGGGCAGGAGGCTGGCAATCAGTCTTCTCCAATGCCCAGTGGCAAGGCTGGTTCCGCCACAAACAATATTTACAGAAAACTATTGTGTCAAAAACCAAGAACTTTGGGTACTAGCAATACCATTTTTGAATAGCATAAAGGTAGGCTTGGGGAGCATTATCTCAAAGATCCTTAGGGGAGAGCCCTTAGAAACACAGCTTATCTTTTGCCAATACTGTTGTTTGAATATTTGTATACCATTTAAATTACTATAACATAACATTCGATAACAAGAGAGAGAGAGAAACATTATGTAAAGGATCCAGACATGTAGTCCAGACACTGTATGGTCCAATGTGGCAAGGAGCCAGTTGGGTGAGTACACTGAAGTCTTGGAGATCATGTGGTGTGTAAACAAAACTTAATTTACGAGAACCAGCTATTTGCCACTGTGGTCACTTTTGGTGGCGAGTGCCAGCAATGCCATCATGTGTAATAAGGCTAGGTGTTCCTCCTCCAGTTCTGTACCTTGACTACCACTTCATTGTCTGCTGTAGAAAATTAATCTGTTTATGTTCAAATTGACTTGTTCTGTGCCCCTGCTCTGTGATATCCTTGTCAAAGTCTGCTATTATTTTTTTAAAGTCCACCTGGATGGTGATGCAAAGAGCTTGAAGTATAGTATGTAAGTATTTTTCTGCAAACGGCCCTTCATCTGGAAGATAGTTTAAAGAGTCAGACTCCGATGTAGCCTCAGAGGAGGGAGTAACCACCATTTTGTGAGCACTTATGATGCTTCTTCTTCCCTGAGTGGATAGCTCTGTGAGCTTAAGTTGTTTGGAGATGTGAAATACGCAGCGTGATGACGTGAGACTCTGAGTGAGTGGAGCGTCTGTGTGTTGTCCCCGGGCAAAGCAAACGATTGGCATCAGCTCGTGTTGGAGGTGTAACTCTGACGTTGGTTCACACAAACAAATATCCTCGTTAAAAAGTAATTTGGAATGCGCAATAGGAAAACTTTTGGGCTTATCATATACTCTACAAAAGGAAAAAAGCATCTACAGGTGGTGGCTGTCAAAAAACAGACTAATCCACTACAGCCTGTAGAAAATCACACCTTATAAGACACTCCAGAAGTGTCTTGGGGCTTGACCCCTAATAAAAAAAACTGTAAGACACTCAAATTATGAGTATCCTCTGGAAAACTAATGACCAAACAATAATGAATGTAAATAAATGCTATACAAAATAATAACAGATAGAAATAGACACCATAGAACTACTATAGAGCGATCAAATGGAAGATCGCTCCATTTGATCATCGCTCTATAGTAGTTCTATGGTGTCCAGAGGATACTCATAATTTGAGTGTCTTATAGCTCTTATCATATTCTCTAACTATTCAAAGGTTCCTCTTTCATATAGACTTGCCTTAGATAAATGAACCATCACAAATGCTTATAATACAGGTTCTAATGGCTACAAAAATGTGTATTTCCAGATGCTGGAAGACCTCAGAAATCCCATGTTGGTCCGAAGTTAAATTTCAGGTGGATTTTCTTGGAGCGATTCATTGGAAAGCAGTATACACAAATTTTGAAAACCTAGATTTGTATTATAGAATTTGGAACCCTTGGGAGAAGTAATTTATACACCGAGGGTCTAGTGAGTGCCCCTCTACCCCTCATTTCTCCCCCCTGGTGAGTGTGCCCGGCAGTAGAGATGTGTTAGGATTTGAATGTATGCTTAATGTTATTAATCCTACGGACATCAAATTTAGAATATTTCTGTATACATAGTAATAAGACAAATGTATATTAAGAGTAGCATTACATATGTGATGATATTAATATAAATTCAAAACTGAATGTTAAGATATATATATATATTTGAAAAAACTGGAATTAATGAAAATATATAACAAATGATGATTTTGGTACTCGATATTACCTCAGATGAAAAAGTCAGCTTAAATTTCAACTGAGAATGGGAAGAGCCATAATTAAAGCCTCATATGACATGCGGTCTTCATGGTTAAGCCAAATAGAATTTTTTTAAAGGATGACTATGGTCGGGTATATTTTGGACTCTGTATTATATTCAGAGCTCCCCCTCTGATGTCTCTCTCAATTATATAAGAAAAATTCAGGAAATCATTTTGGCCATTTTGTCTGGTTTTGTCTTGTCTGGGTATGTTTTAGTAAGTTTTGTCCTTGCATATTTGCCTAAGGTGTATACAGATCAGGAGCGTGGGGTTTACAATTGGTTTGTCATGTTTTCTTGTGATATGTTTTGACACTTTTTTTTTTGATGATATTCCCTGATGATGTACCAATTATGCAAAGTAAGGCAAACATTGCATATAGTGTTTTTGTTTATATGGAATAACCAATAAAAAAACTATATATTTTAAAAAAAATACCAGTGTCTGATGTTTAAAATATAATTTAAAAAAATGCATTTTTTTTTTAAGATGTTTTGGATTTTTAAGAATGTGGAGATACTTGAAGATCTGACTGAGCATTAGTTTTGAGTGACTTGTTTGAATGTAATAGTACAAAATGCCAAAATCGCTGAACTTTGTTGAGGGTTTTTTTGTTTTTTCTTGTAAAGATAAATGTTTCTGAAGTTTACCGACGATTGATTCAATTGTACAGACTTAAGGTTTATGAAGTATTTACGTACTTATTCATATGGTAAAGGGTAGATTTTTAAAACGTTAGCAGTTGTAGATATTTGAAGATGGGGTTGAGTTTTAATATTGAGTAATTTGGAGAAAAAGCACGTCTCCCACTAGCCAAATCCCTTAGCCTGGATGATCCACTACATAGCATAGAAGTGGGAGATACACCTTGTTCAGAACTCTGTTCACGCTACCTTTCCTAACTACCTAAAATAGTCAAGCCATCATCTGTTAAGCATATACTGTTTAACTATGTTGAGGCATCTGTTGTGATAACGCTCATATTTCCTATTATATTTTGTATTGTATTTTTTAACCCTTGTGGCTTGATATGAAAAAACAAAAATAACGAATTTTAAAAGGTCTTATATGTATGTCAGGAAAATATTCCACTGTGGTCCACTAATTATATGCCACTTTTGCTAATTATAGGCACCCAGACCACTTCAGCTTAATGAAGTGGTCTGGGTGCCAGGTCCAGCTAGGTTTAACCCTTTTTTCTATAAACATAGTAGTTTCAAACTGCTATGTTTACAATAGGGTTAATCCAGCCTCTAGTGGCTGTCTCATTGACAGCCGCTAGAGGCGCTTACGCGCTTCTCACTGTGATTTTCACCGCGAGAAGACGCCAGCATCCATAGGAAAGCATTGTGAATGCTTTCCTATGGACTGGCTGAATGCGCGCGCGTCTCATGCCGCGCATGTGCGCATGCCGAGGAGGAGAGTCCCCCATCCGGCGCTGGAGAAAGAGGTAAATTTAACCCTATAGCCCGGCGGGAGGGGGGCCCTGAGGGTGGGGGCACCCTCAGGGCACTATAGTGGTCCTTTAAAGTTGATAACAAGATCTATTCTGCTATTCTAGCAGTGAGTATTAAAATTATCCCCCATCTTATTCACTATGACTAAGTGGCTTTTGACTCCGACCTCTCCTTCACCCCTCATGTCCAGTTGATTGCCAAATCCTTCCACTTCCATCTCAAAAACATAGTGCGCATCTGCCCCTATTTAACACCGGATTCTGCTAAGGTGCTGGTCCATGCCGTTGTCTCTCGCCTTAACAACTGCAATCCCCTTCTCAGTGGTCTTATGTGTTCCCAGCTCGCACCGCTGCAATCTATAATGAGGCTAATTCCCCTGTCCGCCCGTACCTCCCATGCCTCCCCCTCTGTCAGTCCCTACATTGGCTTCCCATAAGAGAAAGGGCTCAATTTAAGATTCTGGTGCTTGCTTACAAGTCCCTACATAATGCTGCTCCAACCTACCTATCCTCCCTAATACACAAGTATGTCCCGTCTAGGGCCCTGCACTCTGCCGAAGACCTATGTGTATCATCTGTCCGTACTCCCACCTCTGATGCTTGCCTTCAAGACTTCTCCGAGGCTGCACATTTTCTGTGGAACTCCCTTCCCTTCTCCTTAAAACTTTCACCGAGTCTCCATTCCTTCAAAAAATCATTGAAAACTTACTTCTTCAGGAAAGCGTATAAATTAAACTGTTACCAGGTTTTCATCCCCACACACTGACTCCTCTCCTGCAACGGTCAAAAATAACCTATTAAGCCCTCAGTGAATACTTTTCTAGCAACCTACTTTGTAACCCCTACTTTTACCTTTTGTGTCACTATACCCCACTCCCTCTAGCATGTAAGCTCATTGAGCAGGGCCCTTAACCCCTCTGTGACTGTGCGTCAACTTGTCTGGTTACAATTACGTGTCTGTTACTCCACCCATTGTACAGCACTATGGAATTCGCTGGCGCTATGTAAATAATAAAAAAGACAAATTGTAACTCCACAAAAAATGATTGGCCTGAGTATTCTAATTTCCATCAAATTCCAGTGTTAATGCTTTCTTTAGATGCCGGGAACACTTTTAATAGAGTCGGTTGGATAAATTTAGTAGAGACCTTGAAAGCACTTGGCTTTGGCGAATAAATAATTGACTATATCATGGTCCTTTTTCCTACCAGGCTTCCTACTGCTAAAATCATGAGACAAGGTTATGAATCTGAATGGCTTGATTTAAGCAATGGAACTTAGCAGGAATGCCCTTTGGCTCCCCTACTTTATATTTTTTTAAAAATTCTTTATTTTTCATGTGCACAGATTTACAACAGGCATGCAGAGCTACGACAGCTTCCGCATGCTTTTTATACCATTTTGCAGTGTAGACAGCACATTTTTTTATATATAACATGAAGAATACTGGCAGAGAAACATAAGGGTAGTATGGTTTAGCATGTCTGACTGAACATTCAAATAACATTTCTCAAGTTAGGTCCCTGAATGTCTGGATAAGGTACACGCTTCAAAAGTCAACGATTATGACATTACTTGCTGACCATAAACATGCTAGATCCTGTAAATAAAACTTTTCTAGCAAGCAAGAGTGTTATCGATACTGTGGCTGGTTTACATCATATAAGCATTAGGATGAACAGGAAAGATAAACTAATAACTTGGCTCATGATGCTATGAATAATCTTACATTGGTTAGTAAAGGTATTAGGCTTTAGTTAACGTTGAGTCTGCTATATGACCACTGGGTACTAATTGCACCATGACAGCTCTAAAGGAGCAGTGAATTTAGTGTCTCTGTAAGAGAGCTGGTGTGTATTCCGTGCTGTCCGTTTATCCGATACCTCGTATGGGCCATCGGAGCTTGGTAGGCTGCATGGTCGGTGAGGTAGTGCTATTCGCCCCCAGGAAGGGCTGTGTGTTGAACCAGGCGCCTTGCATGTGGCTTGTGGTGGGTGAGCTGCGCCGGGGGTTCCCGTTCTCCCAGGCCCAGGCCTCCCGTGGGTTCCTGGTCGCTTGGCTGGTAGCTTTCCATTTTGGTTTGGCTGGATCACGGGTCTGCGGACGCTTGACGCGTCGGGGGATTCCCCGAGTGCTTGGACGGCTTGTTGGCTGTGCCACCCTACGAGCTCCATGCCCAGTGCCGGTTGCAGGTTCGCGGTCCACTGCATCTTTTCTCTGGGTCAGCTGCCCGTGTGGGTGTCGGCTTTCGATGCGGTGCCAGAATGCTCGGCATATGCGTTCAAACCGGGCTTCAAAGTCTTCCCACCAGGACTGAATGTCCGCTCTCTCTGTGGTATGTCGAGGCTGCGTTTCAGCGGCCATCTTGTGCTCGCCATGCGGTCCTTGGGTACAGGAGATCCCTTGTTTGCCGGGGGGTGACTTTCCCCAGTGGGGACCGGGATAACCCCCTCCGGTCCAGGGGGGGGGGTGACGGGGCTCCGGAGTCT